TTAGAAGTTGTTTATTGTGCACCAGAGGGAGGTGCTTCTTCCAAATCTGAGTGAAGTCACAGCAGAAGTTTCCTGTATTTATACCTTTTGAGCTTGTCTTCAGGTTTTACAAAGGACTCTGTGTGAGTTATTGTTAGTTTGTAATCTTAGATACATAAAGAAGAAACATTTGGCATAAGAATATGGGAATTATTATCAGTATTAGTCCATTACGTTAGATGGCTAGCTTGCAAAGTCAGACAGTTTTTTTATCTTTTTCTATTATTCAAACTAAAACAGTTATTCTACAGAATAAGAAACTGTCTAAAAATGACAGAATTTACAGAACAAGGGACTATCTAACAATAGCAGAGAATTTCAAACAGCCATTGTCTTCTCTGAGTAACACCTTGGTGTTTGCTTCTGAGTGCATCCTTTTTTCCAGGTCCTTGTCTGCATGAATCAATTCCTCTTCTGGTTTTACTTTATATTAAATCTTGGTGTCCTGGGGAAAAACAGTCTTTTATCTTAAAGCTTATGAAGATCTCTCATACCTTGGCTCGAAACTACCACGTCTTGCATTTAGAGCCAGTTATTCAAGGCCAGTTTTATTTGCAAGTTGCAGTGTTTAGATTAGGAGAGAAGGGGACTGTGGACGACTATTTGTCCTTTGCATTATTGCAATTTTATATCAGAAATTGAAATGAGGTAGGTCATTTTTATCTTTCTAGAAAATCTTGAAAGCCCTTTCACTTACAGGCACCCAACTAACAGTATAGCTGCCTTTCCTGCAACTTGACCCGGAAGTGGGTTGCCAAGGAAAATACTCGCGTGGCCCATGCAGTATTTGGGACATACAGACACTAAAGAATTACTCATTGTTAATCTGAAATTAAAATTTAACTGGGTATCCTGAATTTTTATTTGCGAGTAAATACAGCTTAACAATAACCCTCAACCTTCGGACCAACTTATTTGCGAGCAAATACAAAGAAGCTGTGGGTAACGCAGAAAGACAGGCTGTCCAAATTACTTTGGCAAAAAGGGAGTAGAAGAAACACCAAATAATTAAGAGATTTAAATAGGCAAATGTTCTCTGTAGCAGAGAAAAGGGGGGGGGGGGGGAATCCTATCCTCTCGAGTTTTAAAATTGAGTCAGAAGCATCAGAAGGAGAGCATCAGTCTCAGGGAGGATGGAAGGAAAACCTCATTTATGCTAATTTGGAACCGGAATCCCTACCCAACCTTCCTACTTGGCAGAACCACCTACAAGGCCAGAGCATTCCGTTCTGTGCCCTCGCGAAGGCTCGGAGCCTTCTCCCTACGCCACGCCCCGGGCTACGCTCACACGCCGCGCCCGGTAACCCGGGGAAATACCGGCGTGGGCGTCTCCCTGGAAAGGCCGGATCCGGAAATAAAGGATCCGCTAAGCTCTCCCGCGGTCCCGCCCCGCCCCGCCCCCCGCCCCGCCCACCAGGCCGGCCGCACGGGTGACGTGTCTGAACTCTGGAGGCGGAAGCCAGGAAGAGGTCGCAGGGTTGGAGGTAGCTCGGGGCGGCGGGCCAGCCTTGCGCATGCGCGATCGGCGCTCTCCTAGGACCGGAAGGTGTCCGGAAACCGTGCCTGTTTAGAAAGACTCCACTTCTCCGGGTTTTTGCTAATGCTGAGCTCGGGAGGTGGACGCGGCGATGGGGTTTGGAGGGAAGAAAGTTTGAGGATCCCTTTGGACTCCCAGGCCGCTGCGGGCTGGGCCTCCATGCACAGCCGAGTGGCTGCGAACAGTCACTTGCCTTTCCTCTGTAAAAGGAGGAGAGATGAGCCTTGTCTGGAAAACCTGAGGGTTTTGTTTGTTTGTTTGTTTTCAGCGCTGAAAGCCTGCAGTTCCGAATTCTGACCCGGAATTTCTGAGGTCTGGCCAGTACCAGCCCTGCAGTGCCTTCCAGTGTCCTGTGCACCAGAGGCTGCTCTAGGTCCTGATGATGTAGAGATGAGGTCCTCCCTTCATGGAGGGTACATATATGTGGGGGGAGTGAGACAATAAACAAATAACCACACTGATTGCAAGCATTGGTAAGTGGTGTGTGATGCCAGAGATTAAGCAGAAGAGTGGTACTGAGGCTATTACAAACTTTAGCCAAGGAAAGCTTTTCTGAAAGAAAAGGTTTATTGAACAATATGCTAGTAGCCAGAGAAAGGACCAGGTTCTGGGGCATGCAGACTAAACCACCAGCAGCAGGGCTAGAGGCAGGAGACAAATAACGCCTGTCCTGGGACTGGGAAAGAAAGGTGTGAGCTGTTTTGAAGGGATTTGCATTGGTTACAGATTTAGGGTGTGGGAGAAGGTGAAGTGGGGCTAGTTCTGGGATAGGTCTGTTTGCTCTTTGGGATTGGTTGTGGGTAACAGTCTGCAAGATGCCCTGGCACCTGGCAGTAAGCTATTAGAGTTAATTGTGCAAATAGCCAGCTGAAGTGACTTCAACGTTTCAACATACATTCAGGAGTATTATCAGTCTTTTGTTGGTTTCCGGCTGTAGTTTTTAACTGATTAATCTCTCTGGTCTCTTCCACCTTCCAGACACCTGTTATTTAATTTTTAAAAAAATATATTTTATTGCTTTTGTACAGAGAGGAAGGGAGAGAGATAGCTAGAAACATCAATGAGAGAGAGTCATCGATCAGCTGCCTCTTGCACACTCCCTACTGGGAATATGCCCGCAGCCAAGGTACATGCCCTTGACCGGAATTGAACCTGGGTCCCTTCAGTCCCCAAGCCAACGCTCTATCCATTGAGCCAAACCGGTCTCGGCTGTTATTTTATTTTGGACATCTCAGAATTTTTTCTTTTGTCCAGGGATTTAAAGATTTTTTTTTTTTTTTTTTTTTTTTTTTTTTTTTAAGATCGCTCTTGGTACGAGTGGAAGCGGAGGAGCTATTGCAGTAAGTAGTCCAGGTCAACTAAGATTTTGACTTGGACTGGGGTGTAGCTGGAAAGTATTGAAAGGACTTAGTTTAGTTTAGCGATTCAAGGAATATAACTCACTCACTGAAGGGCTGAGGGTAAAGAGTGAGAGAACCAGAAATTTAGGTTATGTCCCAGTTTGTGGGTCATTTTCTGAGATGGGAAAAATGGGGAGGAGCAGGCAGTGAGATAGTGAACTAATGGTACTGAATAATTCGATGATAGTGAACCAAAATGTTCATTTTCTTCCCCTTTCTCAATGAAGAGAACACACTCTCCCTCTTATACTGGAAATCTTCATGACGTCAAATACAGACTATTATAAATTCCCTTAGCTCAAGTAGATATTCAACCAATATGTTAATTTATTTGCTCAAATGAGAGAAGGCGAAGTGACACTCCCATTGCTAGCTTGGCTTTTGTAAAAATGTTTGCTATTCCTTTGTGCCTAGAAATGTGTTCAGTGATTAACTCACATATTTTTTTTTCCATTTAATTTTCACAAGGACTTTAAGAAGGTGGACATTTTTTTTTCTATTTATTAGTTCTACCTTGGGACTTGATTAATAACTTGCTCAAAGTCACATGACTAGATGGAGCTCTCAGCACAAACTACCTTTAGAATTTTATCTTTGTTCTGGTTCTTAACCTTTTATGCAGGGTCATAAATCGCTTTGAACATTTAATGAAAGCTAGCCACTCTCCAAAGGGGAGGGGAAGCGCAAATACTCGTAACAATTTAGATAAAATTGCATGGGGCTCCACGCTTTTCAGAATTGTCCATTTAGCAAATTATCCCATTGTTGCACTCTGAGCTGGAAGGTGGTATCCGGTTGATTCCTTACTTTACAGTGGTTAAGTTGATGCACTCTCCTGACGTATTCAATCGAACTCTAAGGCTTAAATGAATTGACTTCATGTCACCAAAAGCAAACTTATCCTTGAAAAATACTCAGAAAATGCACCACACACACAGAGAAACCCGGACATCACGTCATTTTAATAGGAAAAGAGACAGAAACTTTCTCAGGGATAATCCTAGCGCATTTCTATTTCCCTACAGCGGTCGGCAAACTCATTTGTCAACAGAGCAGCGATTGAAATTTCTTGGGAGAGCCAAATCTTTTAAACTTCTTCTAACGCCACTTCCTCAAAAGAGACTCGCCCAGGTATTTTGTGGAAGAGCCACACTCAAGGGGCCAAAGAGCCGCATATGTGGCTCGGGAGCCTCAGTTTGCCGACTACGGCCCCAGAGCTCCTTTCTACACTGAGCTCCAGGGTGCGCCCACGTCTTCCTTTGCGAAGTGTCAACACTAGCTGCTTCTATTCGCCTGCTCCCGTTTTTTTCTCCCCCCTTGTAGCACTCACTCTTTAAAGAGGTCTTGTTTGTTCTGTGCATCGTCCTACACGGGGCTGCACCAACGGACCCACGGCTAGGAGCCGGCCCTTGCCGACACCTCCGAGCAGCTGTTATTGGGGCGAGGATTTATAGTTAGTTCTTCCCATCTGGTTCCTTATCCTGCGCCTAACCAGGTGTTTTCCGACTTTCTTCCTGCCTCAGTGAGCTAGTGCTCTCCGAAGCACCCGCTCTGTAGTAGGGGTTAGCCTGCTGCGGGCAGCGGGGTGAGGAAATTTCAAGATGTTTGAAGGAGACAAAGCAGCAAGCCCGGAGCGCCAGGCAAGCGGGGCTGCTCCCCGGGGGTCCCCGGGGGCTCTAGATTGGAATTTGGAACGGGAACCTGAGCGCCGGAACTTCTCGCCCCGCAACTCCCTAGCGGGCCCCGCAGAAAACCCGGAAAGTGGACTCCGTCCCGGAAACTGTCCGGCGGGCTGGCGGCGGGCTCTCACTGAGCATGTGCAGGCGGCGCGGCGCATGCTCCGTGGAGGTCCGGTTCGGTTTCTGGTGCGGGATCCGCCGTGTCTCCTAGCGTAGCCGGAACTGTCCGCTTCGGGGCCGGCCTCCCTCCGCTCGGGCGGCTTTGGCACAGTCTCCGAGCCTACCCCCGCCCGTCCTCTCTGCACCCCATTCGGCGCGTCTGCCCTTTCCCCCGAAACAGCCGTCATGAGCGCGAGGCGGTCGGCGGCGTCTCCCCCTCGGTGGCCGCGGCGGTGGCTGTTGTGTCTGCTGCTGCTGGGGGCGGCCCCCGGCCCGCGTCGGGGCGCCGCTTTCTACTTGCCGGGCCTGGCACCGGTCAACTTCTGCGAAGAAGATAAAAAGAGCGACGAGTGTAAGGTGGGTGAGGCCTGGCGGACCTGGAGGTGCAGTGTCCGAAGGGGAAGCTTCCCTCTCTGCCTGGGAAGCCGGGGTCCGCGGGGGAAGGGGGCGTAGCAGTGGGTGGGGTCCGGCGGCTCCCGCGGCGCCGGGCTGGGGCCGCGGTGGATTGGAGGCCCCGGAATGGCCCTGTAACGGGGTTAGGTTCTGGAAGACCCGGCCCCAGGCTCGCCTCCCGTCCCGTCCGGCAGGTCAAGTCGCACCAGCCACTGTGTGCAGTTTTCCTGGACCTGGACGCGTGCATTTCAGCACAGCGCGTCCTCCGAGTGGAAGGGTTCGCTCACCGCGCTGTGCCCTGCACTCCGAGCCCGGGGACCACCAGGGAGGGCTGCCCAGTAACTTTTCATTTCGTTGCTTCCTATTTCCTTCTACTGGAACTCTCGGTTGGTCACGAGAGCCTGGTCTTTCTAGGACTTTGATAATGTAATTTCCCGATAAACAGTTGGTTATGGGAGATGATAACCTGAACCGCGATAATGCATTCATAAAGAGTTCATAAAATGCATTCATAAAGAGTTGCAGTAATGGTTGAAACAGTTCGTTTCTACTCTTTTAAGTGTAGAAATATATTTATATATACATTATATGTTATATATTATATATATAATATATATATTTCCACTATTTAGTTTCGCTGAGATTGTTTTAAACACTTAGAAAGAGCATACAGCAGGAGAAACCGGTGTCCTCTTCCTAGAGCAAGTCTTGAAAACGTTGATCTTCTAAGACCTTCACACTCAAGGTTTTCAGTTTAACTGGTAGCAAAAGAGACACAAGTAAAAGTTAGCTTTTAGATTATTTGGCACAGGGCATAGTGATATATACACACACATTTATTTTAAGTGGGTGAAACTTAACGTTTTGGGTTTCAGGATCTCTTTGAAAACATTTTAACAATTCAGATAATGGTTTGGCAAACTTTTACAATCTATAAATAGGTTTATTTACTACGTTTGATTTTTAAAAATCTGGTGTTTATTTTATTACTGCAGGCTTTACAGTAGCTGTTAATATTGAGCTTATTGTAGGGCATTAAAGAAGCTGTTAAATTTTTCATAGCATTTTACAGTTCCTGTTTAAGAATTTGGATCTCTGAAAATGTCTAAGGATCTTGAAGGTTTACTGAAGTCAATATTAGCACTTGAAACTGTAACTCCCATACTTTGTAATGCAAGAAGCTTTCACTCTGAGCGTTCTGACTGAAAGAATAGAGTGCTTCCAAGTGGAAGGAAAAGCTAGTCTCACAAGCACACTGTTTTTTTCCACTAAATATTTTAGTAACCAGCCTTTAAAAGTTAGTATGTGGTATTTAAATTTAATAGCAATTGTGTACTGTACTGTATTCCTGGTGCCTCAGAGACAAAAAGCATATCTATGTCTTGTAGGAACCTCAAAATAAAGGACATAAGTTTATGAACAGATTACCAAAATCTGATATGTTATTGAAAGTGTATGTCCAAAGTGCCTTAAAACAGAAATGTGGACACCTCTGTGGATTGGAGTCTTCAGGGAAAGCTACGGAGAGGAAGTGACCTTTGAAATGGACTTCAGAAAGTGATTGAGTGAAATTTACAGGTGGTCTGCCAGTTAGATGATTTTTGTTTTCTCAACAGGTCCTTCTTTAAGTAGCTACTTTTTAGTTGACTTTTGGCTAATTTCAGAGGCCTTTGGGATTTTTAATTTTCAAAGATAGAGGAATAAAACAGGCAACGCACATTTCTGAAATGTTTGGATTTAATCTTTGTTGCCAACTGCTTTCACATATTGGCCAGTGGAAACAACTCTTTGACAAGAAGAAAGATGTACTTTTAGCAGTTTTTGTTTTTTTCTTACTAATTGACTAACTGGTATTGGGAGCTTGAAGTAAACTTTAATATTTCTTCTCTGCCACTCAAAGAAAAGCAGTAAACAGTTTAACATTTCATTGCTTCATTAAGGATATTAAAATTTTTTTCTCTCATCTATTCTGTATTTGTTAAGGGCACCATTCAAAAAATGCTGAAGGCAATTATTTTATTTAAATATATTTTATTGATTTTTTACAGAGAGGAAGGGAGAGGGACAGAGAGTTAGAAACATCAATGAGAGAAAAATCATTGATCAGCTGCCTCTTGCACACCCCCTCCTGGGAATGTGTCCGCAACCAAGGTACATGTCCTTGACTGGAATCGAACCTGCAACCTTTCAGTCCGCAGGCCGACGCTCTATCCACTGAGCCAAACCGGTTTCAGCGGCAATTATTTTAGATAGTAGAAATGGGAGTTGTGAAGTGAGAATAATTATTTCCAGAAGATGCTGTTGGAGAAGGGAACCAAGAGTTGGATAAATAGTTTACATCAGTTTTTCCATGTGTAACGGGATAATCTTATTTGTTTATTATATACGTCCTTTGAAAGATGTGCATTTCTTAGAGGCTAAGTACAATATTTATCATCATTGTGATATTATAGAATATTTATAAATGTAGAGATGGAACATGTATGGATATCTTCAACATAAATATAACTTATGTAGTATAGTCTTTTTTAAATTAAATTTAGAGAGAGAAATATCAATTTGTTCTTCTACTTATTTATGTATTCATTGGTTGATTTTTGTATGTGCCCTGATGGGATCAAATCAGCAACCTTGGCCTATCGGGATGAAAATCTAACTGAACTATTGGGCCAAAGCTTATGTATCATAGTCTTTATATATACTATAAAGTTCATGCCCTGCATTTAGCTCACTGTATATAGAGAGACAGTCAAAATAACCCTGAAGATTTGATTATTTTCTGCTTGCAAAATATTTTATGTCCAGTTTAGTAGCAGAGGAACAAAAGTTCAATGAATATGAAATTCTACTTATATTGCTCTTTCAATTTATAGTCTGTATTAGCATTCATAAATGCTGACTATTCTGTGGCTTTCTTTTTTGTCATTACATGTATATATGTTTAAATAGTGCACATTCTTACTAGTTTTTATTAATTACTAGAGGCCTGATACACGAAAATTCGTGCAAGAGTAGGCCTTCCTTTCCTGGCTGCCAGCACTGGCTTCCCTCCAGCACCGGGGACCCAGGCTTCCATCCTCCTGCCACTGGCAGGCACCCAGGACCCGGGCTGCCTTCCCCCTGGCCCCCGTTTTGTCTAGAAGGATGTCTAGAAGACGTCCAGTCTAATTAGTATATTATCCTTTTATTATTATAGAAGCCCGATGCATGAAATTCGTGCAAGAGTAGGCCTTCCCACAGCTGCTGGCACCGACTTCCCTCTAGCACCTAGACCTGGGCTTCCTTGCAGTCCCAGCTTTGTCCGGAAGGTCAAAAGTCATCCAGTCTAATTATACTTTTATTATAGAATATAGTCTTTCATTCTATTACTATACTATGGTTTGCTTAACCATTTCTTGCTTGCAGAGCATTTAGATTTAAATAGCTTTGCTAGAATGTATTTAGCAGGAATTACTTGCATATTCCCAAATACGAAACTACTAGGTCAAAGGCAAGAAGCAATTTTTATAGCTCTGTTTAATATTACCAGGTTTCTTCCAAAGGAGATGGGTTTGCTTTACCAGTGCCATTAGCTAAGTGATTCCATGTCTCCACAATATTTTAAAATTTTTATTTATCAACTTAATATCTATGTGATGGTGCTTAAAACATTTTAAAAATACAAATTTACAAAATACAAAACTATTTATTGTATTGTGTGTTCACCACCCCAACCAGGTCTTCTTTCATCGCTATTTTTACTCCCTTATACACTCTTCTCCTTCCTCTCACCGCCTTTACCTTCTGGTAATCACCATGTTGTTGTTTGTGTCTATAAGAGTGTGTGTGTGTGTGTGTTTTCCTTAATCCCTTCACTTTTTTCACCCAGCTCCCTTCCCTCTTCCCCTCTGACAACTATCAGTTTATTCTCTGTATCTGTGAGTCTCTGTCTATTTTGTTCATTAGATTCCACATATGAGTGAAATCATGACATTTGTCTTTCTCTGACTGGCTTTTAATTCTTTTATTTGTCTTCTTTTTGTTTGTTTTTGAAACTAGAGTAATAAAGAATTGAACCATGGTATTTCCCCTTCCGTTTTACTTTATTAAAATCAAGGGACAATAAGTTGACTGCAATAAGTAGAATAAATCTCTGATCAGAAGCAAATAGATCTTCACAGGGTAAAATGTGCAGTTCTAATCTACTTTGTAAAAGGTTTGGCTATTTCAGTTAGCTGCCATATGCTGTTCATCTTTAGAGTGAGTCTTAACTGTGGAGAGTGGCATTCTGATAGCTGAAGATTAGTGAACAGTTAGTTCATTGTTGGCCGCTTTTAAAGTAATTATTGTCTTGTCAACATGAATTCAAACCTAACAACTAAACTTTCCAAACATCTGCCACTCTTACTATTTGATATAAGGTCATGTTCTTAAGTGAAAGATTAAAGTTTTCTTTTCTGTCCAGAAAGGGAAAATGACCAAATACACTTACTGGTGGCTTTTTAAAAAAGGATTGTTTAGCCCAGGCGAGGTGACTTGGTTGGAGTATCCTCCCGTACACCAAAAGGTTGTAGATTCGATTCCTGGTCAGGGCTCATGTGGGAGGCAACCAATTGATTGCTCACATCCATGCTTCTGTCTCTGTCTCTGTCTGTCTCTCTCCTTCCTTCCCTATGTCCCTCCTCTTCTTCTCTTTCCTTTTCTCTCAAATCAGCAAAAATATATCCTCAGGTCTGAGGATATATTAAAGCAAAACAAAACAAAAAACACCAAAAATGAATTTGTAGCTTATTTATAAAAAGGAAACTTTATCATATTTTTAAACTTCCTTTTCTGCTAGTTATTTTTAGAAGTTTTTAATAAATGATATGTCTGTTATTTTTTGGAACTATTGCCTATAATATGAAATAAGTCAAATTTAAGGAAACAGTTCTTAATGTTGCTCTGAACAGATACAAATACGAATGTATAGCCACCTGTTTCAA